AAGAGGCATAATACGGTGGATGTTTGTGGACTGTATCACATCAGTCAAGCGATGCAATTGACCCAGATTAACGGTTTAAATTCTCCAGCCTGTCACTCCTTGATATTTTAATTTTGGTGCAAGAAAACGCAACAAATTCATTAACTGTTGCACCAATACCACGATGCATAGTCGCATTTTCCGACATTTGTGGGATTACACTCGCGGAGCTGCTAGATTTTATCCGCTGCCATTTCTGCGGATTTTCTTTTAATTTAAATTTAAAAGTGCATGAAATTTTGCCACAAATCTATGAGCTTTGGTATTAAGGAAATTCGGGCATTTTGTTAGACTGTTTTTCTTCCGCAGCCTTTTCCAGCCTTCTGCATGTGGGTGCCATTTACTACATCATTTTTTTCATAGAAAAAAGCAAAGCCATTAAATTTCCTAGGTTAGAACATACGTCTTTCTTTTGAGGGTTGCTGTGCTGCAAGTAGTTTGTTTCACTGTCTTCAGCATGCTGCTCAAAGTAGAACTTCAAAATGACAGGTATTTTGATCAAAATTCGCTGTTTATTAGTTGCATATACGTTTATTGATTTAGAAAAAAATTTAATTAAATCAGTTTTCCTGAAAAATCACTGAAAAAACCGTGTTAATCGGAAGAAGTTTTGTGATACACCGGTGATTAATAACTGATGAATTTTTAGAAGGCAAATCGACCTGGATTTCGAGCACGGAAAACACCCGCGTTAAAATCAGCAGCAGCAGCTTTTCGGTCACATTCAGATGAAGCTGGCAACGTTACTGTACGTTTAAGTTTGGTTTCTTTAGTTCCATCATTGTTTTCCCATTTTTTATGCGTTTTATTCTGTGTACAATTGCATAAAACACATATTATCACATTCCTGCCAGTAGTATGTGCGTGTACGTATGTATGTGTGTCCTTGATTGCATTTTATCCGAACTTTTCAATTCGGAAACCACGGGAACTAGGAAGCTGAAATTTTATGAGGATTTTACCGCTAAGTGTGATCTTGCAAATCTAAATTCAGCTTTCACTTACGCCTGAGTTCCACATACGGCGTGCGTAAATCTTAGCAGAAAAAATTATTGTCTGGGGAATCACAAGGGCTAGGGAGCTGGATTTTAAACGAAAGTGTTTCCTGCCTATGCGCGACTCCGTAAATTCAAATTCAGCTTTTATTTAGGCGTGGGTGTCGCGTACAGCCCCGTTAAAGTTTTGGCGGAAGGGAACCTAAAGAGCCAAGAGGCGAAGTTTTCAAATGGACGTCTTCCGACTATGCGGGGGTTTTGAACTCAAATTTAGCTCTCACATATGCTTAAGTACCACGTGCGGCCACTAGAAAGCTTTGACGCGAAAGTCGCTCGAGAGCCAGGGAGCGAGGAAGTTGAAATTTTGGTAGGATTTTCCCCACCCATGTACTATTCAAAGCTTTCAAATTCAACTTTCACCTACACTTAAATCCACATATTGGTGAGTGAAATTTCTAGTGGGAAATTCCGTAGCTTTGGAACTAGACAAAATATCGACTATTTTTGCAGCGCAATTTCTTAACAGCAAACGTCCGCTGGACAGAATAGTGCACAGCACATTATTGCACCGGCTACCCTGGCGCACTCCGATAATTTTTTTTCACCTATAACGGCGGTCCTTGAAGAGCGGATCCTAAGTAGCGGTATTCACAGAGCCGATCTGAAGCGGTGCAAGCAGTCTTTCTTCGTTCTCTTGCTTTACAAATGTGCTCCGTGAGAGTTTTGACCAGTCTGAAGGCATACTAAATCCCCATTCTCTTTCGTAATTACAACAAAATAACAAAAAAATAACTTTTTTCAAACAAAACTATAAGAGTACCATTAAAGTTACTTCGTCGAATATTTCCTAGTGGGACGGCATTCACGAGATGTGTTTTTAAATATTTTAGGAAAAAATTTTTTCATTTGCTCTGCCTGGTTGTCAGTCTTTTATTGATAATTCTCATTTTTCATCTGGTTTAACAGAGAAGTGTACCGAAACATGCCTAGTTACCGGCCTTTCCCGACAATGCTTTTGGTTGAATTCTTCCGCATTTTCCCTCAATTTTTTTTGCTGTTGTGTGTAGTGTTTTTCAGTAATTGCCTGGCGATCCGGAACAAATGCTTTCTGGACGAAACGTTGCTTTTAAGCTCTGTTGCCAACAGATCAATGAAAATTAGAAGTGCCCACATACTTGTACGTGTGTTTGTGTCTGTCTGTCTCTCCACTGCTGTGTAATGGCTTTAAGGCTTGCCAGCTGAAACGCACTCTTAGGCAGCCAAGTATACGTAAGTCCAGGCTCGCTCCGGGCTTGCAGTGAGCCTATTTTGCACTGTTGTTTTTCATCACAGCATCCTTTTTGCCTTTCTAGCACATGGCTTCCTTCCCTCCTAACGTTGCTTTTATTTTGATTGCTTAATTTGCTTAGCACCATAAATACCAAGACCACCCGGGGTAAGCCATTTTAGTGATATTACTGGGATGCTCCAACATGCCGGGCCCTTAGACCCCGGACAACTTCTTTTATTAGTGGACCTGTCCGATGAATGTACTGCGCTTCTTTGAAGCTTTCTCGGGTGGTTGTTTATTTTCTTGCGAGTACCACTAACGAGTTCAGAATGAGTAATTATTTGAATTGCTGTGCTGACACTGGATCAGTGGAGCACTCCGGAACAGAAAGGAGGCATTTCAAGCTGAAACTATAAAAATCATTTCACAAGAAAGGCAATTCTTGGGAAAACTGAATAAAATGACTCAAAATTTAGCTGAAAGGTGCAGAGTTTTTCCGATACAGCGACAGTTAAACCAGAAATCGATTTGGAGCTCGGATGTTACTAAGATACACCCACACACCCATTTGACCATGTAAAATCTTTCTTCTATACTGAGTTATGTGAAATTTGCAGAAGTCCTCGGAAGCGAAACGAGTAGAGAGGTCATTCAGCGATGGCAAGCTTCGTTATCAAGATGGTCAACGTCTAGGAGAGGAAGTGACCACATTCGATGCTGCAGTGTTCGTTCCTCTGTTTTCTCCCAAGCTTAGCTTAATTTAATGATTTTCGTATTTTGTTGTACTGCTGGCGATTTTTAACCATAATTTTTATCCTTTTCATGGATTTTCATTATAATTCATAATTAAGGAATCGTTTTCCAATGTGTTATTCCAAAAAAAAAAATCAGCTACAAGTGCCAGAATATCAATTCTTTACGGAAGTGCTTCTTTTCCAAAGAAATTCTAGCCACTTTCTTGATTTATTATCCATATAGCTTATTCCTTGGAAAAACCAAATTTTTGTTTCCAGCTTTTCTGAAATATAATGAAATATTTGTTTTTTTATTTGATTTGCAAATGCGTAAAGATAAGTTCCGGTATAATATTTTTCCATTAGAAACTGAAGCTTTCCCTTTTTTGATTATTTCTGGAGAATTTATACATTCGTAGTATTTTTTCATAATTTTCAAAAAGCTGTTTGTTGTTAGTTTTTCAAGTGTGTTCTTAAAAATTCTTTCAAAACCCAAATAAAAAAAATCAAAATTTTTAATAATTTTTTCAAACGACTAAACTTTTCGAACTCACTTTTTGTTCGAGTTCAAGTTCAAATATTTTACTTTTTCAGGCGTTTAAAACATCTTAAAAAATAAAATATTTGAAATTGAATTTAAGAGATGCGAAAAACAGAGGAATTCAATTTTTAGGGCGATGTTTTAAAAAATGTGAAATTTTTCAACTTCATTTATTTATTAAAGTTAGACGTCAAATTTCAGGCCGCCTGAGCCAATGGGCGCTTTAGGAACAGCGACAGAAACGCTGATTAGCTTACCGGATTCGGAGTATTCACTGGCTTATCGCGGTAATTGCAGTAGTGGCGCTGGATTGGCTACTGATGTCGGTAAGTCTTTTTCATTTCTGATATCTGAAAAGTCTTTGGTAAAGGGACTCCATCAAAGTAACTCAGTTCAATCAAATTTTAATTTATTTTTTGTCCGTTATGAAATGATTGAGAATTAAAAGAGAGAGAGAGATGACGAATGAATTTGCTGGGTTTTGTGTTAAGTTTGACACGGTGCCAAAGGCAAAAGTCGAAACCTCTACATGTCACTCCGAAGGGAAAGTTTTGAAGTAATCCAAGTATTGTCATTCACAGCTATTCGCTGACAGTACACTCGGATGTATCAGTAACCACAAAAACGAATCGTGCTGAATTTAACATTCTCGTCAGCAATATGGGATCATCGAATAAAACCTGAGTGTTGCTGCTGCTATCATGCCAAGCACGCCAGAGCGATTCGTATAATCAAAAAAAAAGAGAAATTAAACCTGATAAGCCACTATCAAAATCTCTTCTGTATTTGCTTTCTGTGAGAAGCGTAGGCACCTTGGGAATATTCTAAAAATAGCAAATGCCATTGGTAATCAATTACCTGCTAACGCGCTGTTGATGGCTTCCTTGTTGGAGGGTAAGGTTGCTTAGAAACAAGCTGATGGTGGAGTTGATTTCCTAACATGCGGCTTTACCAGTTTCTATCATAAATAGCAGCACGTACCAGGACAGCCAGTGCGATCACGCTTTTTGCGTAGTTTCGTTCAGCGAACATTTGTCTGTTAAGAATTTTCGCTGTTTTACACTTCCGTGTGTGCAGAAATAGTCGATGTGTTATCTGGTTCGTAAACTGCAAAGTTTTCCACTAAATTTCACATGCCGGTACGTGAAAGCTGAATTTGAAACGGAGAATCGCACGTGGAGGAGGAACATCATCCTAAAATTTTAGTTTCCTAGTTTCCTGACTTCTGAGTTAGTGACTTTCACAACAAAATTTTCATGTTGTCGTACGTAAGACCGCAGCATAAACGGGAGATAAATTTGAGTTTGTGAAGTCGCAGACATCCTTCTGAAATTTCAGATGCCTAGTTTTGGTTTCCGAAATAATTTCCTCTTCCAAAACCTTCATTGGACCGTAACGTGAGACCGAGGCTTAATTGAAAGATGAATTTAAATTTGTGGAGTCGCACGTATGTAGGGACATTAGCTCCTAAAATTTAAGCTCCCTAGCTTTCGTGGTTTCCGAAGCAATTCTCCCGCCAAAACTTTCACGGGGTTGTTGTGATGCCGGTGTAAGTGAAAGTTGAATTTATGTTTGCGGGGTCGCAAGTGAGCGGGGAACATTTCACTAAAATTTTATCCTCTTTTGTAGTCTCCGAGATGAACGAGGGGATAAAAGCTCTCGGATACACGCACACAGACACGCACACACATACACATACACGCGCACAAACATACACACACGGACACCGGTGTGACAGTGTGCGTTTTGCGCTACTGTTACACAGTACAATAGGCATAAAAACGAATGAACAAATCGTAGTGGAACTAGTTATCTTATTGGCGAAGTCTTGCCCTCGATTTTCTACGTGACAGAAGAGTTGCTGCTTAGTACGCCTTGCGGGCTAGCAGTCCTGATAAAAGCCTCAAAAATTTTAACATCATCACCTTAGTCATTTTGGATTCGTAACATCAACATAAATCACTGCATTGTGGATATAAGGCACAGAAAATTAAGACATCATAACTGCAAGTATTACAACTTCACACGTCGCCATTTTGATAAGTTGTATAAGATTTTCGAGATCCGAACGCCATTTTTGATAATTTTTTCCCCTTAGAGTTCAAATTTTCAGAAAATTTAGATGGTAAAGCTCCTTGTCCATGTGGGTCTCATGTTGGACGTGTACTGCTAGATGAAGTTTATCCGCTGACAACAGAGCAGCTTTTTGAAATTCTGTTTTCGGAAACACCTTGGTATCATAATCTGGAAGAAACGGTCAAGAAAACAGGTACTCATCGAAACTTAATAGAAACCGCTGAAATTTTGAATTGTTCGACAAATCCATTAAAGAATTTGTCCAACCAAATTATTAACATCTGGCATTCCAATTTAAATTTTAGCAAACATAAATGTTTTCTTTTTCAGTGCATGGAAAAACACTGAGCGCTGTGTCTGGTATGTTTTTTTGCTTTTTTGGTACTTTTAGCTTATTTCACAAGCGAGTGCAAATTAATTTTTCCGGTGCTTAATTTATAGGAGGGACCGTCTAAACTAATATTCTTTATTTTCAGTCATCTTTTTAAGCTTTTGTTTGGAGGATTTTTCGTCCTTGAGTTTCCTAAAAATTAAACTCTGTATTTTGCACTTACCATGATTTTCTTGCATTCATGTTCGTTTTGTTACATGACATTTTATGACATTGCCAGACACTGTTGAGGCTAACTTTACTTGTACCGCTCAAATTTGGCTGGGCAAAGTACGATACATATCTTCCCGATTTGCTCACAGCTGCCAGAATTCGTACCCCGCGATGTCTTAGTACTATCTTAGTCCATTGCCCCTTCTATACCGCGATGAAATAATTGGATCGTACCTATGTGAGAGAGATTCACATGCACCATTCTTTTTTTCAGAGTATGCGTCAACACCATGGGTCACGGAACGGCCCACTATTACCAGTCGGACAGTTACTTACACGATGTCGCTGAATAATGCAATCGGCCCGAGAAGTACTTATGTGACCGAAAAGCAGGTACACTTTACTCTAACTTCTTTTCACCAGTCAATAGTTAAAGTGAAACCTTTATTTTTCCCTTATCGTTGAAGGTGGAAGCACCCGAAGTTCCATGAATTATGCCAAACTGTCTGCTGTCATCAGCGACTAAAAGCGCCATCGATAGCTTTTAACTTTAACAATAGCTGATTTTGTATATCACATTTTGTTCGTGTTTTGATGAGAGAAAAAAAAACATCCTTGTAAGACATTGTCATTTTCATGAAATTTCCGAAGGAGGATATTCAGAAGTTTTAACTTCCTCAGTTCGCGTGCAGAGCTATTTGAGCAGTTGGTTAGTCTAGTTTTGAGCACTAAAAAGTTGCGTAAATCAGAGCAGAAATATGAGTGCAATAAGGGGTTACCAAGGTTCCATGTTAAAGGTGCTACCGGGGTGTAATCCCATACCAGCATGATTTATATCTGTAATTAGCAAAAACCAAAAGGAAAGGGGCTAAATTTTTAAGCGAAAATAGGGAAATTATTTTCAGGCTGTCATAATAAAGCAGTTTTTAGTCAACACTCATCAAAGTTTATTTCCATTATTCACATGCACTACCTCTTTGATCGTCTGAGGAATTATCTCTTTCTCGAAAGTGCTACCCAAGCGATATGCGGCTCAGGTCGGCTCTGCTGCTCAGACGAATTTAGTTTCTCAATTTCCGAATCCATACTTGGAATGCTTGGATCAGCTATTAAGTCTTCATCAGGTTTCCCAGCTATGCAAACCGAAACTTTTCCAGTTACATTGACAAATGTTGCATTTGATGGTCAGTTCGATAGTGGCCATTACGTTCGTCCCATCTCACAGCAGATTCTTCGGACGAAACACTTGGCAAGGCGTTAGCCAGCCTAACAAATTTCCAATAAGAACAAATGCACCTGATTCTGAACTTCAAACTTCATGGTCTGGACTCATCAGTTAATAAAACAGCGAATTTTTTTCAGGTGTGTTCGGAGTTCCAGGAAGAGAGTGATGGCTTTTGTGTTGCTAAAGAAATCCAGAATGCGGGTATTCCATGCGCTGATAGTTTTATTGTCCAGTGTACATACTGTGTGATCCGAGCAGGCAACGGACATTCCAGGCTACTCATACATGGTGCAATGGTAAACAAGAAGAGCATGTGGGGCATTGTTAAAGGTATAACTTTTCAGTTCATTTGACTGTTCGAGCTGATTCGACCTCAGATAAATGAATTTAAAAACGGGACGGACAGAGCATAACTGAGCTAGGTGTAATGCTGTATTAGATTACGTTAAGGCTCCTTATAGGCGCTAAAATAATTTCGGTATTTTAAGCACTAGTAGGAGAGACGGAGCCGGCAGTTGCTATGTCAAACGCGTAGGAGTGTATCTCGGTAATATTAACTCACGGTGATTCCCAAACCGTTTGTCCGGGCGCTCTTGGTATTCTTTATAGACTGAATGCGGCCCCGAATCCGAGTATTTTTTTTGCGTACAAGTTTTAACATTAGCAAATTTGAAAATTTTGGTTCAAAAGGAATTCTTTTTTCATCACATTCAGGAATAATTGAGAAAAGCACCTATGGAGGCTTGGAAAGCCATTATTTGGTCTTGGAAGAAACGCTAAAATTACTTTGCGGCAATCAGCTGCTTCCCGATGATGGGCAAGCCGCGGCAGCAGCATCCTCGTCTGAAAAGAAGCCCAGCCTTGTCGCCGATTTAGTCCCAAGCAAATTGTTGCATGGGTACGGTAACATTGATATTTCCTCTTTACCAGCTAAAATTCTGAAAATTTCGCATCGAAAAAAGTGATGTGGTTGAGTAAGAATGCACGTGCACCAAAAAACAGTGTGTTTTTACTTTGTCTGGGCTCTTATAACACGAACTGACCAAGCCGTTCAAAAATTACCAAATGAGAGTATTTCGAAGAAATTTTTTGGCCACAAAGTAGTGCTATTATTTCCGGATCAAAAATTTTTGATAGTTTTTCTGCAGGTATTTAAACTATTTAACTTTGATCAGCTGCTGTAGCATTGTTTTGTTCCTTCTCGTCGTCGATGTTGCTACTAGTAATTTCTTCATTTTGATCTGTTGCCAGCTTGCCGTTTCCATATGACTTTGCACAACTTGTGTTAATGCCTAACGTAGGACGCTGATGCACTTTTTTCAGCCATTATGGCACATCCAAGAAATGCACAGGAGGAGCTTCAGACTTTGTGCTTATTCTTCGTTATGCAGCACTTTTTTCAGCCAATTTGAATTTGGTTTTTCCACCGGAACTGTCTGCCCTTTAGAATCTGGCAACCATTCGATTTAATTCAGCGCTTTAGAGCTGAAACAAAAATTGATTCCTAACGTTTCTTCGTTGCACATGAAATTTAAATTGATCCCTTATCTCTTATCGCAATATTTTCCAAATTTTCACAAAAAACCGCCCTTTGAAAACATCCTCTTTTTTAGCTACGTGATGTCAAAAAAATGCTAGATGCTTTCAAAAATCAGGTTGCTGAAAAAACAGTCTGATTTTAGCCGAGAACTAGGTTCCTGAAAAAATTTCATCGTCCTAGCTTTTGTAGTTCTGCACTTAATTAAGCATTACCTAAACACTTGGACAGAACTCAACAGAACCCACGCCTTTTTTGCAAAGATCACGGAATAATTTAAAAATGATGCATAATAAGCATTTGATGTAATTACATCCCAGCTGTTGACCCAGAATCAAATTTTTCGCGCACTTCACTTTAACTATTTTTGAGTTTTCTTCCTTCCGGATTGCAGTGCTTTTTGCATGCGGCGAACCAGTCTCATGAATGCAGGGCTTGTCCACAGACTGCATTATTTATATATACAGTACTTTGGCCCACTATCTCAATCTTCATATTATCCTACCAGACCTGGGCCAAGAATGTTCAGGTGTCCCGGGCGTCAGTGTAGGTATCTCTCGTTGCCGATGTTAGAGATGCCGGGCATACTTGACACGGCATGCAAGAAAGCATGCTAAGCCTTTTTGCTTAATTATTTTAATTTTAACTGATCTGCTTCTCAGTTATGCGTAGTACTGTTTAGTTGCATAAGTTTTATTTAGTTTTGCTTGGCTCTTTTTTCGCAAACTGTGCGACGATTTTCTCGGGGAAAAAAGCATACTGCATTCTGAAAAGGTGAGAAAAACAAATCTGGAATGCCATTTATCATCTTGAGGTAATAATTGATATGCAGTCGGGAGCAAAAGCAGCGTCTAACGTAGGGGCACCGATGAGCTGGCGTTCAGCAAAAGTCAGCATAACTGCATTCCTAAAACTGAAAAATCACTATCTCTCCTATTTTTAGAATTTTTGGGTTTTAAATCAGATACTGTTTCTCCCCGAAACCTGGGTGCCAAAAGCGTAAAAATTTTTTGTTTGTCTTCGGGAAACACCGCTTTCAGACTTGACTTCTGGCCAAGTTTGGAGCAAAATTAGCTATGAGAGCGAAAGGACGAACCAGGCTGGTGCTAAAATCATTTGTCAGGGTTAGTAAGACCGCCGGTCAGGTCACAAATAAAGTGTTAGTGTTGTTACTGGAATGCACTCACACATCGGAGGTAGTTATACCAGCGTTTCCAGTCCTGAACTGAGTGTCTTTTTAGTTAATTCTGGCTTGTCGATGCGCATGCTCCCTTCGAGCAATCATTTTTTCCTGTTTTTTGAGATAGCCATAAAAAAAGCTATTTAGTTCGAGATAACTCCGAGATATTCGCTCGCCGTTTGCTGCATTTGCAGATTGTCATAGATCACATATTTAATTTCAGTATATGAATAAATTATTTCATTTTTCTGCTACAAGTTAATCATTATACTTTGCATAAATAGGTCCTTCCTACTCGCTTTGGTACCTCATGTTGATCAAAAAGTGGCATCGGCCGAGACAAGCTCGGAATGCTCAAAATTCACCGAGGACATCTCGAAAACGCTGCAGCCTTGTCAATTAATTCTGCCTGGAGAACTGTTGAGCTGGTAATCCCTTTAGAAGACGAAACGAACATCAGGATCGCCGGCAAGCTGACTAGCAAGTGATATTGCATTGGTCAAAACAGCTGGAAAATTTATTAGCTACATAGCTGAACAACTATAAATTATAGCTATTCAAAACATCAAAGTATGCATGAAGAAGCAGTTCAATTCCTTTGCTGGCCACAGCCATCTTAGCAGTTGAAAAACTTAAAAAACTATGCCCCGAAGTGTTTGCTTTTGCTTTAAATGCTTTTCCGCCTTTCACAGCATGTCAAGAATTTACGGAAGCACCAGTCAGCTTATGTACCGTGATACTAAAACATTATTTCAGTTGAGCCCTTTTCGAATATTTTGCTTGACAAAACAAGAGATGTTCTGCTTTTTTTTTCCACGATATGAGACCTCAGTGTTTTCCAGAATAAGCAAATAATTCCCGGCCGATTTTGGTTTTTTTTGGACAAATTTATGGCATTTTCATGTAAATTCTTATTACGCGTTTTTTGGGCTATGCAGTGCAGAAAATGCATATTGATGAGGGGTTGTCTGTGTGTGTGTGTGTTTGTGTGTGTGCCTCTGTGTGTGTATGTGTGTGTGTGTGTGTGTGTGTGTGTGTGTGTGTG